ACACACACACACACACACACACACACACACACACACACACACACACAGACTAATAAATACATGAAAATATGTATAACATAAATGATCATCAAAGAAATGCAAATTAAAGCCCAGAAATATCCTTGAATGCCTAGGGATGAGTAACCTCTAATGGATATAGGGTTCCCTTTTGTAATAATTAGACATCAGTGATGGTTGTGAAACTTATTAAATTGTACATGATAGTGGGGCTGAGGGTGAGGCAGTAACTCATGTATCCCAGGCTGAGTGCTAGGATTACAGGCCTATGCAACCATGCCTAGCCAAAATTTACACTTTAAAGGATGAATTTTGTACTGTGTGAGTGAATTCTATCCCAATAATTTTTTTTTTTTTAATTTTCAGACAGGGTCTCAATGTATAGACCTAGTTGGCTAGAACTCCTAGGTTGACCAGGCTGTCCTTGAAGTCCCAGATATCTGACTGCCTCTGCTTCCCAGAAGCTGGAATTAGAGACCTGCACCACCACACTCAGCTTATGTTTTTAAGATTTATTTTAATTTATGTGTATGAGTAGTTTTCCCTCATGTATGTATGTGTACCACATACATGGCTGGCACTCTTGGAGGCCAAAAGAAGGTGTTGGATCCCCTGGAACTGGAGTTATTGTGAATCAGCTGTGCGTACTAGAAACTGAGCCTGTGTCCTCTGCAAGGGAAGCAAGTCCTCTTAACAAGTATGCAATCTTTCCAGCCCAATAAAAAATTTTAATATTGGAAGAAAAAGGATTTTTTGTTTGCTTGCATTTTTTTCCACAGGGTTTCTCTGTGTATCCTTGGCTATCCTAGACTCACTTTGTAGACCAGACTGACCTCGAACCCTGCCTTTGTCTTCCAAGTGCTGGGACAGGAGTGTGCCACCACCGCCTGGCTAGGGTGAGGTTTTAATGTTGTTCAAATGGCCATATATCAGGTTGAATATATTGAAAAGTATTTTAAAGAGGTACTTTTGTTGGGCTGGCAAAATGCCTCTCTATTTGTGTGTGATCCCCATAACACATCCTTTGGGCATACACCTGGAAGGAAGGAAATTGTGGCTATATTGCCAACTCAGTCACTGTCAGTCCACAGGGCCTTCATCCATAGCTCTTTCCTGGGTTCTTGACCACATCCTTGGCTCACCCATGATGAATTTCTGCTCTTCCCTTGATAGGACACCTTCACTGAGTCCCACTTTAGCTAAACGTTCTCTGTGTTATGTGCCTTGTTCCTCATGTGCACCCTAATGCCTGTTTCCGAGTCACCATTCCTATTCCACTTCTAGGCTATTCTTCACCCTGAGCTCTAGAAGGATCTTCTAGGGCCCAGATCTTATCCCTACCCCTACTGCTATTGGAAGATTTCCCTGGTTTCTATTTAACAGGACATTAAATGAAGACACAGAGGATGGTTAACAGTTACACAAAATCCTTTAAAGTCAAAACTGAAATCTAGCCTCTCTCCTTGGAAACACTGATAAGAGGGGCTTGAGAGAACTCTCTGTTTCTTAATTTACCCAATCCGTAAGGTCCCAAGCAAGCCCCCTCCCTCACACAGAAGCAGGCAGGATGATTTAGGGTGAAAGAACAGTTTTAAGATTCTCACTCTGCCACAGGCTGTTTGACCTTTGCTCAGTTACTAAGCTTTTCTGTGCCTCAGTTTTCCCACATTGATAATAAGGATGTTGATAATGAAAGCAGCTACCTTGTTCACAGGTGAGTTATTTTTGTTTGTTTGTTTGTTTTTTGTTTTTGTCTGTTTTGGGGGGTTGTTTCATGTTTTGTGTTTTGTTTTGTTTTGTTTGAGACAGGGTTTTTCTATGTAGCCCTGGCTCTCCTGGACTCACTTTGTAGACCAGGCTGAACTCAAACTCATAGAGATCCCACTGCCTCTGCTTCCCTGAGTGCTGGGATTACGGATATGTGCCACCATGCCCGGCTCACAGGTGAGCTTTAAGTGAATACACATGAAGCTTTCCAAAGCCCGGCATAAGGTAAGTGCTTAATAAAGAGTCATTGTCAGCTTCCTTCTTCTTACAAGAGAGAATCCTTCCATAAATCTTAGCTCTAAAGCTAGGTACATATTTGCTAAGAGGAGGGTAAAGAGTGAGTTTTTTTTTTCTCTACTTTGGATCCATTGGGCATCTCGAACTCACCATATCCAAAAATGTTCTCACTACCTCTCCCCCAAAGCCATCCCAGTTGAAATTTCTCCACATCTGTTGCCAAGGCCGTCCACCCAACTCCTAAAGAGCTTCCATCTCAGGTTGGAGATGAAGGTCTGTTAGCAGAGTGCTTGTTCCCCAGCACCACATCACCTGGAATTCCAGCACTCAAGAAGTTAAAAGCCAGCCATGGCCACATAGCAAGTATCAGGCTAGTCAGGCTTACTACATGACATTCAGTCTCAAAACAACAATAAAACCAGCTCGTATCTGTCCCCTGTGTGGCCCTACAAGTTGAGCTTCTCTGAAACCTCTTCCATTCAGTTTTGTTCCAAGACAGAGAGCATGAGCCCTATTTGGCCAAGATCTGGTGAGGCAATGTTTTCTTCTTGTTATACCCACAAGTGCTGACTGTCCCTGAAAGGCTGGACTCAGCTCCTGATTCACAGCACCTGACTTTTACAGCCTAGCTCTCACCCCAAACTGGACAAGAATGCTCCTTCCGGGTTTTGATGTGGCTCCTTCCTCTGTCATAGAGCCTCAGTGCCTAAGCCTGCAATGCTGTCTCAGCGCTTCTGTCTTCCAGTAACAGGCAGAGGAGTCAGTCACTTTGCTAGGTGACTCCAAAGCCTTGCTCTCTCAAAGTGCTCTCCTCCAATGGAAAGATCTCAGAAGGATAAAGGACATGCTGCCTCTGTATGACCCAGGGGTGTCCCTGGCAGTTCACTCCAAAATGAGCAGGATGGACCTTTCTCCCCAGTTCAGATTTATGTAGGGCAGGATTTAGGGAGTTGGCCAGCAATGAATGAATTTGAGCTCCTGCCCTGGATAGTAAAGGAATAAAAGATGGCTCATCTATGTCTAAACATATGCCTGTAGCATCACCTGCTGGTGATAAGGGCATACTGCACCCTGTGCCAAGGCTAGTCTGTATCAAGGGGGCTGAAGAGATCTGGCCCTATGCCTAGTCTGGAAGAGCTGGTGGTCTGAATTGAGTGCTGATTCTTTCTGGAAGGCTTGCTCTGATACTCATCCTTAGGCCTGCCATTGTAGCTAGAAGAATACTTTTCTTGTGCATATCATCCCCATAAAACCACCCCCTTCAGGCTCACAGAGACTGAACGACCAACCAAAGAGCATGCATGGACTGGTCCTAGGCCTCCTACACATATGTAAGTAATGGGCAGTTTAGCCTTCATGTGGGTCTCTTAGCAATTAGAACAGGGGCTTTTTCTGACATGGACTCTGTTGCCTGCTTTTGAATCACTTTCCCCAAGCTGGGCTGCCTTGTCTGGCCTCTGGGGAAAAGGAAGCACTGAGTCCTGATGTGACTTGATATGCCTGAATGGGCTGGGGGGCTCCCCTTTTCTGAGGAGAAGGGAAGGGGGAAAGGGAGAAGACGGTGAGAGGGTGGGGCCAGGGGAAGAGGAGGGAGGAACTGCGATAGGGATGTAAAGTGGATAAATAAATAAATTTTAAAAAACACCCCCTTCACCCACTAAGAGCCTTCCTTTGCAGAGCAGATTCAATCAGTACTGTATCAACAAAATAAGAATAGATAGGTGTCCTACATGACTGAGGAAAAAGATGAGATGTATAGGGCAGCCAAAAGAGACTGGCAGAGGTGATCAAAAGACAGTGAGGCCCCAGGACAGGTCACTGGAGGTGAGTAAAGCAAGCTGCTGAGACCCATTTATGATACCGGATGTCCAAGATTTCCCTCCAGTGACCTCATGGGGGAAATAGCAGGACACTGGGCAAGCATGTCAGGGATACATGGCCCAAAGCCTGAAGCACAGGATGGCCTGGGGTAACCATGCACATAGAGGAGGAAGCTGTCCACTTGCTTCCAGAACTTCTGGCTCTTATCTTGAAACCCAGAGTACCTCTGCCCCTGAAACCCAGCCCAGCATTGTTTTGGGCCTCAGTGTCTCCCAAAATTTGACAAGATTTCACACACACACACGCCCCAATCAGGTTTTAAAATCCACCATATATACTGGAAGCTAGAGCAAGGGAGAAACAGTAAGCAGAGATTCTTCCAAACTCTGGCTGGACCCAACAAGACAGGCTTCTGGAGTCCTTGGCCTACTGGTGGTATGTGGGGTTAGGGCCACTAGAATCAGATAATAGCCCACAGCTCATCACAACAGAAGCAGCAGTGGGGGGGAAGTATCCCAAACTCTGGTCACTTCCCCACAGGCTCAAGCGATTTCCAGCCCAGGGCATCTATCTTTACAGCCCTGGGGATCTGGAGCAGATGCTGCTGTTGTTGCTGCTGAATTATGCCTCCTGCTATCGCCCCCTGCTGGCATCCCAGTAGGGCTTGCTGGCGTCCATTTTCTCTCAGACCCAGGGCAAGCAGGCAGCCTCTTGCTGGTGGCATTGTGAGGGACAGAATCAGGAAGTCCTTGAACTAGCCACAGTGCCTGTGCCATGATCCCAGCAGAGAGAGGTACAAGAGGCAGAGCAGAAGACCCTGTGCAGATCCACTAGCAGTGGACTTGCTTCCTTCATGTCCTTCCTCAGAGTGACCCACAACCCCACATTCATCCCATGTCCAGTTCAGCACCAAGGCATTGTTCTGTTTGTCTTTATTGGTTGGGAGGAAGAGGAACTGAAGAGCCATGACACAAGCAGGACCACCCACAGTCAGGAAAGCACAGAACAGCCATGCGATGCATGTGGGCGTGCAAGGTGCAGGAAGGATGGCCCCCAAATTCACTTGTGAACACCTCCACAGTTTCTACAGAAGGTGGCAACAACATGGGGAGGGGAGCTTCCACCATAGGTAAGGGTAGAGGCTGGGGGACATACTGAGGAAACCCCCTACCCCAGTGCCATGCACCACACCCACAGTCTCAGACTTTCCAACAGAGGCCACCCCAGGGGACAAGGGGCAGGGAAGGAGACCAAAAGGGCCAGAGGAGAGAAAAGCTGGAGTCAGTCCACTTAGCCTTCTTTGGCATCCACCTAGGGGGAGGGAAGAGGACGGAAAAGAGGAAGAGAAAAACAGGGTCAAAAGGTGCCCAACCTTCCTGGCTCCTCCCCAACATCTTACCCAAGCTTTGGCTTTCTTTTCAAAAAAGACTGCAGGGATCATGCCCCTATCTTACTAGCATAAGATGTCTGCTGTACCCCTCTGTCCAGCTTCTCCTTCTCTGACACTTTCTGCCCTTAACCCTCCAGACCCCACTCAGTTCATTACCATTCTCTAGGGTCCCTAACAAGCTAGTTCCCAAGAGGGTGCAGAGTCTACACACCTGGTTATCACCACTTGGGGGACTGGCTAGTCCCGAGGCCTGGGTGGCTGTGACGGGTCATACCCTGCTTGGCCTCCTCACCATCTGGGCTTTGCCCCAGCTTACGGATGTGACGCAGGAATGATGTGGCATTGAAAGCACGCTGTGGAAAGAGAGTGAGGTCAGGCCAAGGAGGGCCCAGCACCAAGACCAATTTGAAGACCAGCATCAAGACACTGGGGGCCCCAGCCTGAAATAGGAGCACAGTAATTGCTTTTTGGGTGCTCACCTTCCAGTGGGTCCTGGCAAAATTCTTCTGGATCTGCTCACTGACAGAACCTAGGATGTCCTTGTCTAAGGCTGCATCCCCAGAGATCCTAGAGAAAAGTTGGGCTTCAGCCAAGGTCTCTCTCCCACCCCTGTGCTACCCGCCAGGCATCCCACTCACCAAAGATGCTGTAAGGCCTGCTGGCAGGTGAACCTCTTCTGGGGATCGCGCTCCAGAAGGTGCCGGATGAAGTCTTTGGCTGGAGCAGAGGCCAAGGTCAGTCTGACCTGTCCCTGCTGCCCTTTGGCACTCCCCAGGACAGGGTCAGCATTCGCTTACCTGATTCAGAGATGTCATCCCAAAAGGGAGAGTCAAACTCGTAGCTGGCCCTCAGAATCTGGCTGAAGAGTTCAGGGTCGCTCTCGTCGTAGAAGGGGGGGTACCCACATAGCCTGGCACCCACAGATGAATCACCCAGGTGTCCACCCCTCCCCAACCCAGCAGGGGCAGGCAGGCAGGAGTTGAGCTGTCGCAGCAGTCACTCACAGGATGTAGGAGATGACACCCAGGGCCCACACATCTACGGCCTTCCCATAGGGTTTCTGCTCCAGGAGCTCTGGGGCTGGCGGCCAGAGGCAGACAGACAGACAGACATGTCTGCACAGGCTTGCACACATGTCATGCCCTTGAGGGCCACCTGGTATACCTATTCAGCCCAGGAATCGACTGCCACAGGTAGCAGTTGCCCCAGGTCAAAGAGCCTTAGTATCCCCAGGGTCACCGGCTCCCTACCCACCACAGTAAGCCTTAGATCACTTCCCTCTTACCCACATATCCTGGGGTCCCACAGGCTGTGCCTAGCATGTTGCCAGCTTGTATTTTGGACAGGCCAAAGTCAGAGACCATGATCTTGGAATCCTCAAAGGGTGTGGCATAGAGGAGGTTCTCAGGCTGTTGACACATGGGGTCAGTGAAAGGGCCTTATGAGTCCCAGAATGGCTTCAGCACTGGGACAGGGTGGTTGGGCCTCAGCACCCTTAATTTCCCCAGACCCAGACTGAGTCAATGCTGGAGGAAAAAAAATGACACTCAAGGCCAGACATAGGTGGGATAGGGTGGAAGGCACAGCCAGGCACCTTGAGGTCCCGGTGCACAATGCCCAGGCTATGAAGGTAGGAGACAGCACCGAGGACCTGCCCTACAAGATGGCTGGCATCCTTCTCTGTGTAGGAGCCACGTTCCATGATGCGGTCAAACAGCTCACCACCTGTCACCCTGGAGGTGGAAGGAATGAAGCAAGAGGTCAACAGACCTGGGAATAGACTTAGACATTGCACCCCCTTCTGCCCATTCCCCAGCAGCCCTCCTCACAGCTCCATGGCCAAGTAGAGGTGGGAAGGGCTCTCATGAACGTCCTCCAGAGCCACAATGTTGGGGTGGCTGATCCTAAAACAGACAGAAAAGGCTCCTTGTGGACCACTTCAGCCTCATCATCTAGAATACCTCCGTCCTGAGCCCTCCCCTTCTCTTCCTTCACCTGGGCTCCCATTCCCTACCAACCCCTGCCCCCCATGAGCCCAGGTCTTCCTAGAACACACACTTCTGTAGGCCATTTATAAAGCACAGATGGATAAGGTGCCTCTTGTTGCCATGGAGATATACAGACTCAAAGGGGAAGAGGACTCAGCCTGCGGCCACAGGTCTCCCCAGCCCAAGGGAAAAGTGGGAGCACCTTCGAAGTACGGCGATCTCATTCTCCACCAGGGCCTCCTTGCCCCGAAGTGCTTTCTTGGGGATGCACTTGAGGGCCACAAGATGAGCAGAGCCCCTTTCCTGGGCCAGCATCACCTCAGAGAAGGCACCCCTGCCGCAGAGCAATATGGTGGGAGGCAAGAAGGGGGAAGATGCCAGTGAGAGAAGGAGGAAGAGCAGAAATGGAGGAGATGCTCAGACCATACCACCCACCCTAACACACACACCCACAAGTATGCACACACATCTCCACACCACCTCACACACATTCACACGCACTGACATATTCACCAACATTCACATACCACCTCCCACACAGACACCATCATACCTCACAATTCACCCCCATGTTCACAATTCACACCACACACACTACTCACACGCTCCCTCGCACATTTTCTCACATGTGCACATCCCTTACATACGCAGGCATTCACTCCCACAGCCCAGCATGCACACTCACGAGCCCAGCTTCTCCCGGATCTCATAGACACTGCTGATGTCCTCCGTCTGTTTCTTGAGCAGCAGCATGTCTGGTGGGGGAGGGGAGGGTGGGGGGGTGGAGCGAGGCCCCTTGGCAACATGCAGCTCCCTTGCCCATCAAGCTAGATCACCACCCCAATTCAACATGGTGTCACCCCCTCCCCAGCCCAAGTACACCTTTTCCTCTCCTAGAGCCAGGGCCAGACTCCCACTGAGGCAGGCCACTGCATGCTACCTCCCTTCCAGGTATGCTGCTGCCAGCCTGTGCTCCCCCACTCCAGCATCCGGAGCATACGTAGTGTAGGCCACCAACACTACGACACCCCCTTTCTGTCTCCACACATGGAGCCAGTGCTGCCGGCTATTTTCCAGAAGGCTCCACACACTCCCATCCTGGCTCATTCAGGCCCACCTCCAACTATAAGGCCCGTACCCCTCCCCCACCAGACCTTCCACCGTGGCACAGCTCGAGCACACACCACCTAGGCTACCAAGCCGCTCGAATGCACTGGCGAACCTGCTCGCAGCCACCTGTCACGACCAAAGCCACCCACGCACCACCTAACCGCTGCCTGGCCCCTGGCGCCTCCGAGCGGGGGGGACTCTGCAACCTCGACCGCCTTCGTCCAGAGCTGCGTGGGCCGCGCCGGGCGTGACAGGTGTGCGCGCGGGAGGGGGGAGGACGACGGCGGAAGGGGCTGCAGAGCTAAGGTGGCCCTTGAACTGGACCCTGTATGCCCCAACCTGTCTGCCCCGCTCGCCCGCTTGCCCCCAGCCCAGAGCTGCAAGCAAGTGGTGCGGACCTGCAACCGCCGCCGCCGTCGTCGTCGCAGCCGCCACCACCACCGCGCAGTAGCTGTTGAGGCGCCGAGCCCCCCGCCCGCGCCCCGCCAGCCCCGCCTCCTCCGCGCGCTCCCCCGCCCCCGCGAGCCCTGGGCAGCCAAGCAGGAGAGCACTCGGTGGCTTTGGCCGCAGCACTGCAGGGGGTTTTGAAAGGCAATTCCAGGTTTCTGGCTACCACCCTCTGGCTCCTTAGTTATGCTTGCTGACTACAGGGTGCTCCAGTGCCCTGGTAGCCTAGTGGGTGGCCCCAGGGCCTTTGCACTACCAGTGACTTAGTGCAGAAGTGTTGCCATACATGGGCCTGTCTGTCTGCCTTCCCTGCTGTTTTTAACACGGTGTCCACAAACAGAGTGCCCAGGCCATTTGCTATACAGCAGCCTCTTTTCCTAGTCCCTGCCAGTCCCCAAAACCTTGATGACATCACACCTTAAGTCTTCACTATCTGACTCCCTCTGCTTCCACCCTTACCTCCATGGCCTTCCTCCTTTGCACCACAGCATTCCCTTTGCTGAGGTCATGTGGCTCCTGGAGGCACATATGCCACTCCCTAGCAAGCTAGGAGTCCTTGCAGGGTCTGATGACTCTCTGGCCCTACGTTCTCCAACTCTCTTCCCCCTTCAGCCTCCTCTGCACCTGCCCCCTGGCCATTGCATGCACTGACCATCTTTGCCAGATGTCTACTCAGTTTAGCCCTCACTCCATTAATTAGTCTGGCCCACTGCCTCCTCTAACAGGCCTCCCTTGCCTGTGCCTGCCAGTTCTCTAGGTCATGACTCTGTCCCCTCTTCAGGACACAGAGCTGTGATAGGGCTGCATGGGGTGAAGGGGATGTGGAGGAATCCTCTAACTGTTGGGTGAAGGTTGACCTCAGTATTTTCTGAGTGCCTCCTCTGGGTTGGGTCAGGTGCTTTGGGGAAGAACACCTGGCAAGGTGATTTGTAGCCCTACCACAGTTCTGTGTCCTTTCTGCAACGAGGGTCTATTAACTATCACAGAAGCACATCCAGACAAGTCTGTCACCAGGCCTCTGCCAAGTCACAGGGACTAAAGGTAAGTTGTAGACTCTAGTGTTCTGAGCTCCTGCCCCCTGGCCTTTTCCAATTGTCTCTCTTGGTTAACTGAGCCTAGATCCAATCCCGTCACCTGTTCAGGTGGCATGAAAAGGGAGGGGAGAGCTGAAGGGGTACAACAGGACATGCAGTTCTTGTGAAGATCCCTGCAAATCTCCAATGCTCCAGAATGTCTCACTCCCTGATGATGATTAAGAGGGAGAGTCACAAAAAAAAAGTTAAATAACTGCTATTTTGCAAATATTATATGTTACAAATGTATCATACACACTTGTCTCTGAGCAACTGGAAACCATCCACATTAAGCAAGATAAGGCTCAGAGACTCCCAGAGAACAGCAAATACCAAATGGAGGCCTATTTCCTGATCTGGGGATGGGTATAACACTTGTGATTTTTGTTTCTTTGGGAGTTTGGCTTTTTCTTTTTTGTTGTTGAGGGATATGTTGGCTAGTTTTATGTCAACTTGACACAAGCTAGAGTTATCTGAAAGGACAGAGACTCAGTTGAGAAAATGCCTCCATAAGATCCTGCTGTATGGCACTGTCTTTACTACTAATTGATGTATGAGGGTACAGTTCATTGTGAGTGATGCCACCACTGGGCTGGTTGTCCTGGGTTCTATGAGAAGCCATGGGGAGCAAGCGAGTAAGAAGCACCTTCCATAGCCTCTGCATCAGCTTCTGTCTCCAGATTCCTGTCCTGTTTGAGTTCCTGTCCTGGCTTCCTTCAGTGATGAAACTGTTACCTTTAAAGTATAAGCTGAAATAAACCCTTTTCTTCCTAAGTTGCTTTGGTCATGGTGTTTTTGTAGCACCTTAACTAGCACATGGGGGGGGGTTATTTCTTTATTTTTGAGAAAGTGTGCCATGCATTCCAAGCTGACTTCTAAGTTACTATATAGATGAGAATGACCTTGAACTTCTGATCCTCCTACTTCTGTCTCCAAATGCTAGGATTATAGTCCAGTATTACCAGATCCTTTCTTATGCAGTGTTGGAGTTGGACTTCAGAACTTTATATATGTTAGGCTAGAACTCTGCCAATTATGTTTCATTCTCAGCACTCATGAAGCAATTTGTATGTGTCCAGTCATGTGAAAAAAAAATCACTCAGCCGCAAGTGGCCTGTAGTCCTGGATACGTGGGAGGCTTATACAACATACTGAGAAAAAAACGTCACAAGCTGGGCATGATGATGCATTCCTGCAATCCCAACACTTGGGTAGTGGAGGCTAGAGTTCCAGATCAGGGTCAGTTAAATGACACCCTATAAAAATGTCATCCTAGTTTTTCTTTGACACCAGTTGTCCTGATTTCTTTTATATCGCTGTGACAAAACCCAGAACACTGATAACAGCTCAAGCTGACAGGAACAATGGGACAGTCATCACTGCTGGTGGGAATGAAAACTGTAACAGCCACTTCTTTTTTCTTTTTTCTTTCTTTCTTTCTTTCTTTTCTTTTCTTTTCTTTTTTTCAATTTAACCTTGTTTGGTGCTACTACACCTGGTGTGGCAATTTTGTTGTTGTGTTTTTCTCAAGGCATGATTTGTTTGTGTAGCCTTGGTTGTCCTGAAACTTGCTCTGTAGACCAAGCTGGTCTCGAATTCAGAGATCCTCCTACCTCTCCCTTCAGAACATTGGGATCAAAGGTGTACCACTGCCTGATGGAGGCTTGTCAATTTCTAATAAAGCTAAATTTACTTTTGCCATATGGTCCAGTGATAATACTCCTTGGTGATTATGGCACAGGCTTGGAAACTTATGTCTATATAAAACCCAGCAGCTTTATTTGTACATAGTGAAGACTGGAAGCACGGAAAAGATACCTTCTAGTAGCCCTCACCCACAAACAAACAAACAAATTGTTAAGTGAAATAAGCCAGTGGGAACAAACCACCTACAATAGACTCAATTTATATAGAACATGCCAGAAAAGACAAAACTATCAAGACAAGAAACAAATCAGCAGTCATCAAGAAGTGAAGAGGAACCGTGTTTTACTAGGGGAAGTATAGGGGATTTTGAGAGCAGTAAATCCATTCTGCATGGTAGAGGTTGACTTTCAGCAGAAGTGTCTTGAAAGTGGAAGAGGAAACTGCAGTGTCTACAAGCCTGGTCATCTTCTAGGAGATGGAGGAGTTACATACAGTGTATTGCAGACTGTGACCAAAAAGAGCTCAACTGTATGGGAGAGACTAAGGGGAGAAAGAGGAGGGAGAGAAAGTGATATTATCATATTTTTCATAAAAATGAAAAATGAATTCTACACTCAGGAGGCAGAGGCAGGTAGATCTCTGTGAGTTCAAAGCCAGCCTAGTCTACAAAGTGAATCCAAGATAGCTGAGGCTCTATTAAACAAAGAAACTCTGTCTTGAAAAAATTCTAAAACATTAAAATAAATAAATACATGTATTTAAGACTAGAGCTGGAGAGATTGGTGAATGCTTGCCATCCAAACAAGAAGACCTGAGTTGAGGTCCGAAGAATACACATAACTGAATAAGTGAGCACATGTTCAGTGAGAAATCTTGCCTTGAAACAAATTAAATAAATAAATAAAGTGGAGGGACAGCAAAATAGGTCAGCAGGTACTTGATGCCAGGTGCAATGACCTGACTTTCTTTTTTTTTTGGTTTTCTGAGACAGGGTTTCTCTGTGTAGCCCTGGCTATCCTGGAACTCACTCTGTAGACCAGGTTGACCTCAAACTCATAGATGCGCCTGCCTCTGCCTCTCAAGTGCTGGGATTAAAAGTATATGCAACCACCAACCAGCAAGGACCTGACTTTCAATCCCACACAGCAGAGAGAGAAAAAATTCTGGAAAAATTTTCACTGACCTCCACTTATTGAACATGGCATACACAGATACACAATAAATAACTAAATTTATTTAAGAATGTAATTAAGAACTGTAAATAAAGAAATAAGGTGATCAGTGAAATAGAGAAGGACACTCACAATTGACTTCTGTCTTCTGCACTCACATGAGCAAATGAGCACACACGCGCACACACACACTTTTAAATACACATTTTAAAAAAGACTAAAAGCAGATGGGCATAGTGGCACACATCTTTAATTCAGGGACTCAGGAAACAGAGGCAGGCATGTCTTTAAGAGTTCGAGGCTAGCCTGGTCTACATAGTCTTTTAAAAATACTAAGGGCAGATGAGGTGCTATGGGAGGGTATGAGTTAACAATTCTAAAACCACTAGATCTTTATAGTGCAGTTAAACAATTACTTACTTGGTGGCCAGAGGTGGAAGATGGGTTATTTGCTCTTAGGGACGCAAAGGGAAGAAGCTAGAATGTTCCAAATGGTAATGGGCTAAAGTGAGAGATATCAGCTTGAACTGCTATTTAATGCAGACACCAAAACATGTCTGTTTATAGATAATGCAGAGAGCGATGACTTTTGCAAGTCTCCTTGCTCTGTCTGCTGAGAAGGCCCAGAAACACTAGTCCATACCAATGAGCATTTCCAATGAATGATTCCTTGGAAGAAACAACTCATTCAAAATCCACATCAGGAATACATAACCTGGGTATGCAGCCAGAAAGCAAGAAAGTGCTCAAACAGGCATGTGCACTCACACAAGTGAAGGAGGAAGTGTCAAGGGGATACAGAAGTAGGTTGGAAGAAAAGATAATTGAAAGAGCACATGGCTAGCATGCACGAACCCATGGGGTTCTCCTTACAGTGCCAAGAAGCAATTTTTTAAAGGGTCCATGTTGGCTCACAATTGTCTTTAACTATAGTCTCAGATGATTTGACATCTTTTTCTGGCCTCAGGCACTCAAGCAGTACACAGACATACATTCAGACAAAACAACCATACATATAAAAATAATAAAACTTAAAAGGGCCCATGAGAAGTAACATTGATTGTCAACTTGATAGGATCTAGAACTATTGAAAAAAACAAGCCTCTGGGCATGCCTGTGAGGGATTATGTAGAATAAGTTAATTGGTATTGGAAGACCCACCTAAACTGTAAGCATCACTATTCCATTGGCTGGGATTCCAGACTGAAAAAGAAAAATAGAAGAAGCAAGCTGAGCACCAGCATTCACCTCAATGTGGCCAAATGCCTCATGCTACTTGCCACCATGATTTCTCTGCCATGATGGACTGTACCTCTCACACCATGAGCCAAAATAAACCCTCCTTAAGTTGCTTTTGGCAGGTATTTTGTCACAGTACCCAGAAAAGACCCTAAGACAGGGGGCCATGAGAAACCAAAGAATTAAAAATTAGGTTTTTGGGGTACTGAGCTGAAAAGTTTAAAACCTATCATCAGGCCAGTTGACCTTGCTGCTTTTAGGCAGATCCAACCAACTGCAGGGAAGAGCTGACCTTGCTGCTCCTTAAAGATAAAATTGCCAGGAAACTGGCCCAGATGGCCCCCAACTCATCTGGAACCATTCATGGTCCTGGCACTTTCCCATAGCAAACAATTTTGAAATGTAGCATGCCCTTTTCTGTTTTAACCACTAGAAGCTTGCCAGGCTAGAATACCATGCTTTGGGAGCACTGGGTCGAACTTGGGACCTATAAATCACTCACAATCCAGAGCTCGGTGCTCTCTGCTGGATGCCAATGCCTTAGTGTCTATAAGAGTCCAGCTCAAACTGCAAATAAAGATCCGCATGTGTTTTACAACAGACTCTACTCTTGGTGGTCTGTTGGGGATCTCTTAAATTGGGCCCAACAGCCACAGGAGTCAATTGATTCTCCAAGAGTCACAGACAGAAAATGTAAGCAACACATTAAAAAACTACTGAGTTATAAAGAAAAATATAAACTACTGCAATTCCAGCACTTGGGAAGTAGAAACAGTAGAATCAATTCAAGTTTGAGACCAGTCTGGTCTACATGGCAAGTTCCAGACCAGTTAGGACTATACAGTTAAAACCCTATTTCAATAACAAGTGAGAGTCAGAGGTGTTAATGCATGCCTTTAATCCTACTGCTAGAGAGGCAGAGACAAGTAGATCTCTTTGAATTAGAGGCCAGGCTGGTTTATATAGTGGGTTTCAGGCCATCCAAGGCTACATAGCAAGGTTTTGTCTCAAAACAGCAATAACAGAAACAACAGAAAATGAAAATAAAAAGAGAAAAAAGTATAAAGTAAATATTCCTAAGTCCAAACTGTAATAAATCCATTATTAACAAATAAATATCATAAAATAAATAAAATTCCTCTGTGAAAGAATACCACATAATCACCATAGCTACTCCCATTTGTTACAGTTTGTGTTCTCGTCTGTTACAGTTTGTGTTAACTGTCCTTCAAAGGCCATACAGTACAGGCTTGCTTCAGACTACGGTGCTGTGGAGAGAAGTGGAACACCTAGAAGGTAGGCCTTACTGACAGGAAGTTAGGTCACTGGGATGTATCTTTGAAGAGGATATTAGAGACCTCTTCTTGTGACTTTCTGGACAAAATGGGGTGAGAATCTTTGCTCTGCCCTACTCCCTTGCCATGGTGTTCTGCCTCACTACAGATACAGCAGATTCAAATGACTTTGGCCTGAAATTCCAAAAGTTGTGAACTAAAACTAAGCTCCGTAAGCTGCCTTGCCAAGGTGTTTGTACAGGAATGAGAAGTGACTGACATAGCCTCAGGGAGAAGGACATGATGCTTTCCCTGTAAAGAGTACTGTATGGAAAGAGGAGAGGGGGTCCCTTTGATGAATGAGAGTCTGACACATCTCTACCAGACAGCCATTGTCAACACTGACCAATGGTGCTACAAGCACTGACATCCCAAAGGATGGATGAGCAAGGCCTTACAAACACTTATGACCAAGCTCACTCAGTCAGGTAACATGAACCTAAGAGAGGGAGTGAGGATAGAGAAAAGAAAAGAAAAGAAAAGAAAAGAAAAGAAAAGAAAAGAAAAGAAAAGAAAAGAAAAGAAAAGAAAAGAAAAGAAAAGAGACAAAGATCAGGAGGTTGTCAGCAAATGCTGAGACAACTTTTATTTTTTCAGACCACTATTTATATTCAACAGCCCTTACATATGCTTCTTGTAGGTGTATAACTAATACAGCAAGTGCAGTCTAAGTTACAGATAACTAACCAATTATCTTATTGTATTTCCTTTTGATGCATCTTAAAGTTCATGGACCGTTTACTCTGTACTTGCTCAGTCACCAAGATAAGACCAAGAATCAGTCTTCTCATGCATAAACACTTGCGAGCATGCAAGCCATTAATCAAGCCTCATATGACTCACATTTTGTTTAAACAGCCCCCAATACCCATAATGCCCAGATAACTATGAAAGAAATGGTGGAAGACCCAACAAAGAGCATTCTACCTCACAACTGTCAGAGTCATCAAAACAAAGCCCTCCTCACAGTCACAGTGAACATGATAGACAAAATTAATGTTGGATCCCGGATGGAATCTTGGGACAAAAAGGGGGACTTTAGAGAAACGATGCAGAAAGCTGAATAAACTGGACTATACTTGATAGCAGACCTCTGTTGACTCACTAAGTGGAGTAAATGCAACTGTCTAGCATGAGAATTTTGTGATATGGCAGAGGGGTGTGGGAGTGGTCACTACTATCTCAGCAATTTTTCTGTAAATCTAAAAGGAATCTAAGCATCTGGAATCCCAGCACTCTAGCACTCGAGAGATAAAGACTGGAGGAACAGAAGAAGAAAGTCACCCTCAGCTATATAGTGGGTTCAAGACAGCCTGAACTAATGAGATCTCGTCTCAAGACGTTGAAAAACTATTTCTCTAAGCCTGAAAGTAGTGGCTCATACCTGTAATCTCAGCGCTTAAGAGGTTCATGCAAGAGGACCCATTTGAGGGCTAGAGAGATGGTTCAGTGGTTAATAGCACTGTCTGTTCTTCCAAAGGTTCAATTCCCAGCAATCACATGGTGGCTTACAACCATCTATTGTGAGATCTGGTGCCTTCTTCTGTTGTGTAGACATACATGCAGGCAGAATGCTGTATAAAGAATAAATAAATCTTTTTTTAAGAGGATCTATTTAAGTTCAAGGCCAGCCACTATCTCACCATACCCACCCCCAAAAAGGAGTTTTAAATAACAAAATGTGGTTTATATAAAAAGTGTATGTCAAAGCGTAAGTCATGAAACCTTTCAGATTGTTTGTGTATGAGAGCAGAGCTGGTAAACAAGGTAGACTGTGCTGAAGAGGGGACTTCTGCCTTTCAGCAGTCCCCAGGCTTCATCCTAGCTCCATGAACCTTGACCCCAGTGTTAAATTATTTTTTATCACCTGATTAAATTGTCATCTCTGAGGCTTACTGCCTCCATCTACTATCCTAGGCCTAGTCCTGGAAGCTTCCAGCCTCCATACAATCTAAAGTAGGCCTAGAATGTTTTCAGCCTTGAGACTTACTGCTGAATAAGCTCACCCTTTCTAGCTCTTTCTGAACTCTGGCTGGCTGGTTCTCATTTGTTCTGGCTCAAACTCCTCTCCAAGCTGACTGATTCAAACTATCTTATCTCAGCTTCTGACTAAATTGGTCTGTTTGTCCTCAAACTAACTCTAGCAATCTGTTCTAAGCTTCTGACTCCTTCTCATTCTCTGGATCATTCAGTCTTCACCTGTGTCTAGCTTGTTCTCTCTCTCTGAAACATATTTCTGTACAACTGTCCCACTAAAACCTCTCTCTCTCCACTGCTCCCTTTTAATTCATCTCCCTTTCCTCTCTGTTCTTGTGAGAATTGGGCATATCCTATTCTATCAAATCTTTCTCTGATTCGGCACTTTGTCTGCCTTTAAATTAGACAGCACTTTCAAACATGGCTGCTTCCTTCCATCAACTAACTTCACCTTGGGAACTAACTAATTTGGGATTATAGGTGTGTACTAAGGGTGTATCTGTATTCCAGCCAGAGGGATTAAAAGTGTGTGTTTAGGCATATCTGCATTCTAACCAGAGTAGCTATTTTGCTGGATTAAAATCTCTCTACAGCCCAGCCCCATTTATTCTTCTTGCCTGCTGGCTCAGGAGTTAGAAGTACAAAGCCCTAACAGGTGGACCCCAGATTTCCCTTTGTTCCCAGTTCATTCTAATTTCAAATCTCATCATGCTGGACCTCCAGAAGAGGAGGTGCACCAACCCTGCCTTCAGCTGCCTCGCTCTTTACAGAATCACTTTAGAGGTGGTGACCTCCATCCAGCCTTCTTCCGGTCCATAGCCACCTCAGGCATTGGTAGGCACTGGGTCCAACTTTAGCCTTGCTTGCCAGCCTCCCACATCAACAAGGGCCCTGCAGCTGCCTTCTTCCAGCTTGCTGCTTCCACCCTATCCTGCTCTCAGTTTCTACCCCAGCTACTAGGGGTTCTCAGCACAGTTCAATGCCCTCATGACCAGAACACCAGGCCTCTGAAGGACAGTGCTAGTTGGGAAGAGCCTGTAGATATCAGCTGAGATCCTGGGGAACCTATCATGCTCCTCCCTACTAACTACACTCACCCCTACCCCCCAGCAGGAACATGTCCTGGAGAGAGCCTGCCCAGGATTGGAAAGTCCAATGCCTTTGTTCTCCCTAGTTCTCTGCGCCTCCTAGGAACTGTCTCTAAACATGTCCCCATCAGTGCACATACTTCCACAGGCATCTGGGTTGGATCACAGACCACAGACACAGAAACTTACAGCACTCTGCTTGGTTCACTCTGCTTTTTAGCTTCATGGGAAATGGCTCATGGGTAATCAGGGTAATCACTGCCAGTGCCTCATTCTTTAGCCTCCTGACCATCAACAGAAAAATCAGTTAAGAAGTAGAACCATTGCCACTGCAGGATGCCAGTGTGCCAGGTGTGGCCCTAGCCAGGAGCTAGCCACTAGGATATGGAGAGGTTCTGGTCCTAAGAGATGAGGTGAGTAGGAAAACTGGTTGCAGGGAATTTAGGAAGACCAACAGACTGGAGGGGAGCTGAAAAGTAATGTCATTACCAGGCAAGGGGTAAGTGGGACCCCATGGAATCATGCCTTGAGACCTGTTGAACTTATGCCCCCTGAGATGTAGAGGCCCAAGAATCCTCAAGGTCACATGGATTATTCTCAGTGGCCTTTCATTTCTGCTTTCCATTTATCTGCACCCTGGCTACCTTCTGAGCCCAGAAAGGCAATGGCAATCCCAGGGGCCTAAGCATGGGTGACTAGTACCTTAAAGTGCCTCTTTGTGTGTAAGTGAAGATGATACTCCTTCCTTATGTTCCTGTACCTGGACTTGGCACATCCCTCTTCACCCAGATGCTTAGCACAGGCCCAGGATGGAGGGAACCCCTCACCCTTGCACCTAGTCTTAACTTTTTGAACGCTGGACCTCCCCACAAACAGCAGTGACCACCACATCAAAGTGCCATCAGCTCACCCACATCTTTTTCAGGCCACTATTTCCTCTCACCCCCCCCCAACTGTGCTCCCTGGACAAGCAGGATCTTAAATTCCTAAGAGTAGTTCACAGCCTGATTTTCCTATTGCTGGCCTCAGCCCACACGTCATCCAGGTCGCTGTTGCAGCAGCTCCTTTCCCCTTACAGGTCTCATACCTGCACTCTGTTCTTCTACTTCAATGGAGTCCTCTGTGTCCATGTGTCCATTCTTTGGAATCCTGTTCTTTCTTCTCTTAAATGTCTCTTTTCTTTGTTCCTTGCGTGGCTCCAGCTTCTCCAGGATATTTGTGCTATGGGTAATTTCTCTACGGCCTTTGTTTCTCCAGGAGGACTTTGGTCTCAGAGAAGAGCTAAGTTTAAGGTTCTCTGATGAGTAAGGAGACTCTACCGCGACAGAGGCACGTGTAACACACACACACACACACACACACACACACACACACACAGTTCCTCCTGCTTGCCTGGGTGGAGATGCTGCCCCTCCCTCTATCCTCACCTATCAGGCTCAATCTGGCTCTGGCTGGAACTGCTTTTCTTTCTAAAGCTGCCGGATGGCTGCAGGCTTAGCATGATGGGATGAGCCATCTGGGGACTTTGGTGTCTGATCATATCAGGGAGCTTAGGATTGAAATAGGCACGCCTCACCTTCCTAGACTACCCCAGGCTAGTCTTGGCCTTGGAAAATTCCCAAGAAGCTGTACAGCTGCTGATGGAGAAGCCTGGAAGTCCCTTAGGAGCAGAGCAGGAAGGTGCTCAGCTTAGGGGGAGGGTCTGTACATCCAGCAAGCACCAGGGGGCAGCCTTACCCTATTCTTACCCCAGTATCCATAGGTCACAAGCCCCTACACCAGGCAAAAGGTAGACTTACCTGAGTTATCATAGAGTACTCTTCCTTGGTGATAAATTGTAACTTTGATCCTCTACCAAGCAAGCTACCCTTTGCTCACTCTGGAAACAAACAGAAATTGGTCACACCCAGAACTGACACCTCAACCCTCAGCCTCTAGGTGGTATCTTTAGGGAGGCCTAAATATTTTCAGGAGACAGCTCAGTGCTTCTGGAAAAGTTCCACAGAACCACTGGAGGGATAGCGCTCCTCTCCAGGTCAGCACAGGGCCGCCCTTCAGGAGGTGATCGCACTTACTTCTGTGCAGGGACCAAGAAACTTTGCACCTGGGTACCCAACTCTTCTAGGTCCTAATTGGAATTGGAGATGAAACGTGAGGAAGGCTGGACAGACCTTGGTGAAGGATGTTTCACACACACACACACACACACACACACACACACACACACACACACACACACACAAAACACTCCAGGCTAGAAAGCGAGGAGAGTAGGGAGGACTAAGCATGTCTGGAAGTCAGTCAGAGACTCCGATTTCCTGGTAGTTCAGAAAAACCTGAGGGGACTTTGACCCCACCCGGGCCAAGCGATCGTGGAAGGAATCATGGCTCGGCCCACTGAAAAGGAGGTGCTGGCCAGCGCCCCAGGTAGTAGCCATCCTGCTCCTTACTGGAGCGGCATCTCCGGAGGAGGAGGAGGAGGTAGGCGGAGTGACAGGGAGGGCGGGATGGAGGGGGGAGGGGGGACCAGCCGGGTCGTGGGGGTGGGGCGACAGTGACATCACCGGGAGTCGGTTCTTAAGCAGCAGCTGGTCGCGCCGGGAGAGAGAGGGACTGTTGGAGTGCTGTGGCGAATCTTGGAGTCCGCCGCAGCCGGGAGAGCGGCTATAGCCGCCGCCGCCGGGAAGGAGGGGGCGAGGCGCGCCCGGGGCCACCGGAGCCCTTAGTGCCGGCAGAGCCGCAGGCGATCAGGACAGCTGCTCAGGGCTGGGCCGGGGCCGGGGTGGGGGGTGGGGGACGCGGGCCGCAGGCCCCTTGCTCCGGCTGCAGCTTGCAGACAGTGGGCGTCCGATGCCACCCGCTCCGCGCTAGTGTGAGCCTCCGGCCGGGCGAACAGTCGTCGCCGCAGCCGCCGCCGCCCGAGCCGCGGGCAGGAGTCTCCGGAGCCGCCGCCGCCCGGCCAGGCTCCGCCACCGCCCGCGCGCTCCCGGGCCCCCGACACACATGAGATTCTTCAGGCTCACTTTCAAGTGCTTCGTGGACTGCTTCTGACTGCGCCGCCCCCGCCGTCCCGCACCCCTCCCGCCGTCCCGTCCCCCGGCCCGGACGCCCCCGAGGCCCCCGGGCGGGCCCGCGCTTTCGGGACCCTCTCTCCAGGTGCCACCGGAGCCCCTTGCCCGCCCGCCACCCTCGAGGCGCCGCGACCCCCGGCCTGGCCTCGCGGCCCCAGGGGCCATGGCTAAGAAGAGCGCCGAGAACGGTATTTACAGCGTGTCTGGCGAAGAGAAGAAGGGTCCTCTTATCGTGCCCAGGCCCGACAGTGCCCCGGCCAAGGGCGATGGCCCCGCGGGCCTGGGGGCGCCCGGCAACCTCCTTGCCGTGCCGCCGCGAGAGACTTGGACACGCCAGATGGACTTCATCATGTCGTGCGTGGGCTTCGCCGTGGGCCTCGGTAACGTGTGGCGCTTCCCCTACCTGTGCTACAAGAACGGTGGAGGTGAGTGCCCCCGCCCCTGAGCATCCCAGCATTCTCATCAGTGGTCAGTTCCCACCCCTAGCCTGCTGCAGGCCCACCGGAGCAGTAGGGCAAAGTCCAGAGGGTGGGGAGGCGCGCCCAGAGCTCGTGGGGGCCGTGGTGCCCCCTCACAGACCAAGCGTTCGGTGACCCAGCACAGCAGCCTCCACCCCCCTCACTGGTCATGTGCCTGGCAGTGTGGGGGGAGGCAATCAAGGAGAGCTTCCTGATGAACTGAGGGGCTGCCTCCCAGGCTTCCAGCCCAGGCTGGGAGTGATTGGCTACTGAAGTGGGAAGGGAAGGCCTCCCCCAAGTGGAGGGGGCTCCAGGAGGTGAGGAACCCTGGCTGCTCCCATGGGTCAGGCACACAAGTGACACATTGTGTGACCCCCCCCCCACACGTGTATACACAGGAACACACACACACAATGGGCCACTCTGTCCCTCCCCCACACTCTCCTCTCCCTCTCCTCCCTTCTCTCCTCTCCTCTCCCCTCCCCTCTGGCCCAGGCTTGGAACACTGGGTGCTTGAGTCAGGCTTGGGAAGTCTGCAGCCTGGCCCGCCTGGCGCCGCCACTAGACACGCTGTGTGCACATCTCATGCCCAGTTGCTGAAGCCCAGCTTAGCAACAGTAGTGGGTACTCTCCTGTCCTGGGACTGCGAAGCAACACTGGATTTCTGGAGAGATGAAGCAGCTGGGTGATTGGTGGAAAACTGAGTCCTAGAGGGGAGGCCTCTGTCCAAGGTCACACACAGGAAGGATGCTGGAAGCAGGAGCCCAGCAAACTGCAATTAACTCTGTCACTGAGTAGCAGAGAGACCTGATGGGGCAGATTAGGGGTCCTAGAGAGCAGTCAGCGGGAGTAGTCAGAACTACAGCTGCTCAGCTCTCCTCTCCTTCCTACCACCCCATGTAATTACTGGAATCCTGTCTCAACCCCTTTTCCTTGACTTGTTTCCCTTTGTCCTACACCAATACCCCCTTAAGCAGAGAATTGCCACCTGCTCAGCTTCCTCCTGGGACCCTCATGATTATAAAATGCAGGGTAGTTGGGCTCACTCACTGCCTTTGGACAAGCCCCAAAGCCTGAGCACCCAGCCTAGCACACACAAACACACCCTAGCCATTCCTTCCTGTTCTGCTGCCTGCCAAAAAGAGCTATGGCACAGAGATGCCTGCATACATAAGCCTGTGTGTGTTTTTGATGCCTGTTAGGTGTCCACAGGTTCAGAACTCTCTGATCCAAGGGCTCTCTGTGATACAGGGAACACTGGCTAGACACTGCTGTTGTGCCTTCTCCCAACAGACGTAAGAGCTCATGTCCTGGGATTGTTCACCTTGAGCCTCTGAGTCAGTGGCCACCCCTGCACTGATTCACTCAAGTGGGAAGTCATGAGACTGGGGTGCAGGCTGAAGCTGGGGCTCTGCCTGCACCTTCTAGGATTTCTGGAGTCTGGGCTAGTCTATGAGGCCTGGCCAGGTTGGCTGATGGGTTTGGGTTAGGCCTCTCCTGCTGCAGGGGGTCATTGGGAGGTATCCTGAGCCTACACCATGCTTTCTCCTACAGGTGTGTTCCTTATTCCCTATGTCCTGATTTCCCTGGTTGGAGGAATCCCCATTTTCTTCCTGGAAATCTCACTGGGCCAGTTCATGAAGGCCGGCAGCATCAATGTCTGGAACATCTGTCCCCTATTCAAAGGTGAGCCACCCTGGTCCAACTCTCAGTTCTCCTCTTTCCGCTTATTGGGATGAGGGCTGGAACAGAATATGGCTGTGATCCACTTAAGAAGAAATCTTTTCTTGCCCTGAGTTTATAAGAGAACCTACAGGACATAAGATCATACAGTTAACTTAAGAGTCAGAAACTAGGGTGGGATGACAGGCTTGCTTAAACAGGAAAGGATAGAGCAGAAACAGCCACACTTAGGGGCAGGACGTGTTGAACATACTTGACTCCCTACAGAGGTCCTACTACTGTCCTTGAAGAAGCTGGGTACACAGGGGTGTAGCAATTTGCCAAGGTTGCCCACTGAAAGGGTGAATACTTCCCATAGTGCTTCAGATTACTGGAAAGTTCTTGCAGCTGATATGTAGTGGAGGCTACTGGATAGATGGGGTGGGGGCTTGCCTTCTGTGACTTCAGGGTGGCAGTGGGTCCTGGGAATGGGCAAGCATTTGAAGCTAGACAATCAACAGGATGTAGCAGCCACATAAAGGAGGAGAGGAGCACTATCTTTATCTCTGGGCAGGATAGAAGAGCTGAGGCACAGAGAATAATGGAAGAAGAGGACAAATGTTAGTGGGAGACAGACAGGAAAGATAGCCCAGAGGCAGGATGAGGAGGGAGAAGATACAGGGAGAGGCAGAGACGTACAGGGAGTAAGCTTTCAGGAACTCAGCAGGAATCAGTGCCAGCTCTGGAAGGGGAGATAACGAGGGTGGTAGGAAAATGGCCACAAAAGATCCTAGAAGGAAAGGCAGCTTCTCACTCCTCCTCAGGTCTAGGCTATGCCTCCATGGTGATTGTCTTCTACTGCAACACCTACTACATCATGGTGCTGGCCTGGGGCTTTTATTATCTGGTCAAGTCCTTCACCACCACTTTGCCCTGGGCCACGTGTGGCCATACCTGGAACACTCCTGACTGTGTGGAGATCTTTCGCCATGAAGACTGTGCCAATGCCAGCCTGGCCAACCTCACATGTGACCAGCTTGCTGACCGTCGGTCCCCTGTCATCGAGTTCTGGGAGTGAGTAGGGTGCCTC